CAGCAATGCAATACGAATCTGAACCCAGCGCACATGATGAAGTCTCCGAAGTTGATTACAAGTCCATGTCCCGAGTACATGCACAATTCAGAAGCATCGTCTTATCAAAGAAGAGCATGAGAAAAGGAGACAGAGGAGAGTGTAGACAGAGAAGAGGAGAGTCCCAATAATACTCATGCTCTCTGCCCTCATGAGAAAAGGAGACAGAGGAGAGTGTAGACAGAGAAGAGGAGAGTCCCAATAATACTCATGCTCTCTGCCCTCCTACTTCCACTTCGGGCTTCTTCCCTATCGCCGCCTCAGCAATACATGTTCTACTCTGACGTCCTCTGGCCTGATCACTGTGCATATCTTAACAGGGAGCCCATCCTCCTTCCACGTCAGCAAATAAGATATGGAGGATGGCACAGCACTTCCTCACCTTCGTGGAGACCAGCAGATCACATGTGTCAACACCAGGTAAGCTTCCCCTCAACTCTCATCAGTCTCACAGCCCTGATCCTCCTCCTCCTCGCCAATCCTCATCACCTGATCTACATCTATGGTGTCTATGGTTGCGCCAGCATAATCCCCCTCTAGGCTGGCACTCTCCACCATCATCTGGCACCAGCATCATATTCCAGCAGCCTCACATAGCAGCACTAGCATCAAGCCGGTGCAAGGCGGAATGCGTTCCCCAGTGTTCTGGCTGACCTCATGCAGCTTTGACCAGTGTTGACTGGCATTGACCAGTGACGACTGGCGTTGACCAGTGTTGACTGCCGTTGACCAGTGTTGACTGGCGTTGACCAGTCTCCCCATTGACCATGACGACGCTTCAGATTTGCCGGATCTTGACGGCCTGGATGCAGCCTTGAAGCAGCGGTACCTTTTCCCAGTTGGGCGGGAATCTTCTGGATGCCTGCAGACAACCATTGATGTGCATCTGATCTATGGCGGAGGCTGATTCTGCGTTGACTTTGACTTTGCGCCTGCGTTTCCGGTGCCGGGTGTGACTCTTGATTTTCCAAGAGTTTTCCAAGAGTCAACTACCTCACGTGGGGCTATGGCCACTGCTTTTGACTCGGGCCTTGATACCCCTTGACCCTTGGACCCCTCCCAGACATTTTTCAGACTTGGGGTGTGACTTCTGACCCTTGTTTTTATGGCCTTCGGCCCTTCGACTGAAAGTGACGACACTAGCCCTTGTCTGTATGGCTATGAACTGAGTTTACTACGGAACGGAAAGCAAAAAGAAACCCTTGACGATATTCTTTATATCCCTACTATTGCCCCAGGCTGGAGATCTGGCAAGCCTGGTAAAGAGTTCTTTCAGCCCCTCCCCCCGAATTCTCGTCCCCGCCTTCGATTGCAAATCCATCAGAAGCTAGCGACTTCTTAAACAGCTGTGCACACTGCTCATCAGTGGAACTTCTGAAGACAACCGTTTCGGAGAGCTGGCTCCTCAGTCCGTCATTTGAACACAACAGAGAGTCGATAGCATCTTCGTAGCCGGCAAAGATCATCACTAACTCTCGAAAGATCTGAGGCTTGGTAAGCTGGTTGACAAGCTTGTCCGCTGCTTCCTTCGCATGCATTGAAGCTGCCTCAGACATCAGTCTGTGAGATCGAGCTGGTAAGCTTTGTCAATGAAAGGCACTTACCCGGGGCCTTCTCCAGCATGCCTATCACCTCGGGACCAGTTTGACGCAAGAACTGTCTCGGACCGATGAAAGGTTCTCCAGAGGTCTCCACAACTTCATCATAACCTTGCCATTCGTCCGGCAGCAGTAAGTCTTGGCAGTCCCTGGTGGTCCCATGAAACAGAAGGTCATAGGGATCTGCAGCAGTGGGTCCCTTCCACGTTGACGGTCAAGGTCCATGTTACTCTGGTACCGTAACATCTGATGAACAAGGATGCTTGGAGGACGTGAGATCGGAGAGGAGGTCTTCCACCCGTGGAAACCTCAGACCCTGCTGCCCTGCACCTCCTGGGACACTCTCTCCCAATCAGGCTCGAAATCTGTGGGCAAGAGGTGCTGGTTCATTTCCACCCGCTGAGCTGCAGGAAGGTGTTTTAAGTCTGGACTCCATCCTCTTCAAGGCAACTGTCAGCAGATTGTCACTTTCGCCGCCATATCCAAAAATCTTTCAGCTTAAGCTTACCTAATCCAGCAATCTTGAGCAGTTTATCCATTCCTCTGTTCTTTGTTTTGTTCCTTTCCTTCTCTTCAGCCCATTTGGTTCCGAGTTTGCCCTCCAGTCCATCCACTTGGTTTCCATGCGTCGACGATCCAGGATGACTTACATATTCTCGGATCTCGAGACCCACTCGTTCTAATCTCTGTGTTCCCATTCTGAGCCAGAGTGTAGGGACTGCCCCTTTGTTCTGTCTAGCCATAGCAACGAAGGCTAGTGTCAGACCATAGATTTTGATCTTTAATGTCAGATCATCTTTGCTGTCTGCAGAAAAGAGAACATCCAGCAGGGTCGACATGCAAAAGCTGTACAAAATAGGGTGACCGTAGATGGACCCGGCTGCCAGTGAAGCTGTTCGTTGGTGCAACCAGCTTTTGATTTCTTTCTTAAGAGATGAATCCCCTACCTGAGATCTGCATAGGAAGCATAGCAGAGTCTTTTGCATCTGGTCATCCACGGAACTGTTCTCCTTCAGAGGAAGTTTCTCAAAGTACCTAAACCCAGACACCCAGCCATGACCATTCTCTCTGTCTTCCGTATATTCAATTCCAGGCTTCAAAGTGGGGGGAATAGGCTTCGTAATGCCCTCAGACAAATGATCTCGTGCATCCCCTGCAGTAGATGCAATCCCCAGCCAATTTGACAAATTACACTTGAATGGCGATGGTGATGGCAAATATGATGAGGATGATGATTCAGCTGAATTTTCATCAAACAAAGCTTGCACCTCCTCGTCAAGTGGCTTCGATACAAACACCATAACTTTGTCCAGGTCTTTTGTTGGATCTTCATTCTCTCTTTCTCCTCCGCCTCCTGTTTCCCCTGCCCCTCCACCTCCTTCTCCTGTTCCGCCATTTCTACTTGCTGTTTCCTCTTCTCCTCTCCCCCCTACTTCTCACCCTCCTCCTGCACTTTTGGTTCCCGTTGCTGCAGGAACCTCTCCTGTCTTGGAGGGGAACACTCCTCCGTTTGGGCTCACACTTGACGACGACTTCCCTGATGAGACCTTCAAGTAAACAGCCTTCTGAAGCTTGGAGATTTGAGCCTGAACTCTCTGTTTCGTTTCTAGCGCTTCTTTCTTAAGATTCTCTTCGACAACCAGTTTCTCGAGCTCTACCCTTACCTTTGTTACCTCTATCTCTGCCTCCATTTGCATAACCTTCCTGTCGTGCTCCTCTTGCAGATGAAGCTCAGTAATCTTCTTCTTCTCGTCCTCAATATTCTTCATCTTCGCCATCACCTCCTTTTCCAAAGCCCTCTCTTTGTCTGCAAGCTCGGCTTCTCTCTCAAGTCGTTGCTTCTTGACCTCATCTTGAGCTTGGCACTCCTCACACGTCGAAGACGTGTCCCGCGTGGAGGCATCATGACAAGGTGTGTTAATGTCGTGGCCTTTTGGACACGTCAGCTTGACAAGTTGGTCACACCTCTGGTTGCTGTGATCCCTGTCGTGGCAAGACTCTTCACAGTGATGGATACCGCAAGAGAGAAATTCCCGGCAAGGTATGTCGCACCCTCCATGGGGAGAGAGCGATTCAAAGGAGGACGGATCTTCGACAAGAAAACGGCAGCCGTGTCTGGGACACTGGACCGGAAACCCCTTGAAGATTGCCTGCTGTTCCTCGATCATCGTAAACAGCTTTTGCCACATTGCTGCTGCACCAGACGGAGATCTTGCATGCTTGAACGTCCATCTATTCCCAATCATGATCAGCACATTGCGTGCTCGAGACAAGAGCACATTCACTCTCTGTGACTGACCAACGAACCCGACTGAACCGGTCTTGTTGCTCCGCACCAGCGAAACGATAACGATGTTCACTTCTTCTCCCTGGTAGTTATCTATCGTTGCAATACGAATCTGGTCGCTATCTTTCTTGCATTTTTCCTTAGTACCTTGAACGATACTGGACGCATCAGAGAACGTGGATGTGGAGGAGGAAGAGGGGGAGGAGGATGGAACAGAAGGAGATTGTGGTTGCCCCGGTTTCTTGGACAGAGAATGCTGAGTGAGCTCAGCAGCATCGAGATCGTTTATGAAAGTAGGGAAGACTTTAGAAAGCTCCTCCTGAATAGCATGAAGCTGAGCCAGATATGGCGTCAGCACAGCAATGTCATCATTCTTGTATCCCTGTCTGCGAATATGCTTCACAATGCCAACAACCCATTTAACCTCTTCCATGTTTGTCTTTGACAGCAAGTCGTCTGCTCGTCGTGAGCCCTCTAGAGCTTGCAAGTCACCCTCCGGGCGATCGTGATCGATGAAAATGACGTTAGACCAAGATCCTTTTAGATCAGGTCTACTCTTGGTGCTGTCCGCATCCTTCAAGTCGGGATAGATCAGCTGTCTGATGAAGTCAGATATCTCTGGTCTCATCCTATGCTGCCACTGCAGCCGTACATGTGGGTAGTCTGCCGTGGCTAGCCGTTCAAACAGCGACCTGTTTAAGGCATATGGCCCACCGCTCTCTACCTGCAGGGAGTACTGATTGATCTTTGGACGCAGCTGCTCGTGATCACCAATCATTATCAGTTGCTTGCAGTTACGTGTCAAGCTGGACAATACATGGGGCTCAACGATCTCTCCCGCTTCTTCCATGATGACCACGTCTGCTCCGAGCGCGTGAAGCTCTCGGTGATACTTCGCTGCACCGGTAGTAGTGCAACCAACGATGCGCACCTTGTTCAGGTCATGCCATATGGGTCCTAGCTTATGTTCATTCATCATCTCCCTCAACGGGTGTAGGCGTTGCAACTCAGAAAACAGGGGTCTCATCAGCAACTCTTCGATCAGCTCCTTGCGCCAGTTCTCTACCATCTCTCTCCTTTGCTCAACGTTCATTGCCCACAGTCCGAATTCATCTTTGAACCCCTCCCCCTCATCTAAGGGACCAACAAGTCCTCTATCCCGGCCAGCCACCCATCTATCCCACAAGTACCTAGATTGCAGGGGTTTGCCGTCCTTTCCGACAATGGTCCTGGCCTCTTCTGACAGTCTGAACTCGTCTGCCACTTCACAGATGCATTCTTGAAACATTTGAAAAGCTGTTGAAATCTGAAGACTTTCTATTCGTCCTACCTCGGCCAGCTTCCGAACATTGCTCTCACAATCTTGTCTACGATTCATCAACCCCCGGTATACCTTGCGAAATGAAGGATCTTGCTTCTTGTGCCTTGACCTCCCCCTCAATGTGAAAGGTCTGATTCGATCGCTGACTTTCACTCCTCCACCAAGACGAAGGAACTCCGATCCGGATAAGCCGATATCAAGCAAATCTTCAAGAAACTGGTCGAGGGCATGGTTGGTGTAACATACACAGAGAATCGTTTCACTGGAGTGATCATGGATACTCTTAGCGATAAGGGAGCCGCAGAAAGATTTACCTGTCCCAGGAGGGCCCTGAATGAGTGCCACAGGCATCTTCAGTGCATGTACAACTGCATGTTTTTGTCTCTCATCAAGAACCAGCGCTTTCGGGAGATTCAACAGCGAAGAGAGATCCTGACTGGCAGGCCATTGTTCCAGGCGTCGAATAAAGTCAGCGAAAGGTTTGCTCTGATAACTCAGTGGCGTTGCAGACCCGTGGATCTCAGCACAAGAAGAAGTGGAGGAGGAGGTGGAGGAGGAGGAGCAGGAAGGACGAGAAGGAGAGGGAGGAACAGGGGCAGAAGCAGAGTTGTGCAAAGTAGGAGGTTTCCAGTCCAGCAGAGCTTCCTTGAAAGGGACAAGATGCAATGATTGCAGACGGTGAAGTACCGGTGCATATGCGAAGAAGGGAGCTGACAGCTGGAAGGCCCTGAGGCCTACACGCGGCTTCCTCAGCTCCAAAACCGTCTGCATGGAGGCCTCTTTGTCCAGAAATGAAACAATAACAGCCGGGGGATCTTCAAAAAGCCTGTCATCATCGTCTCTACTGCTGATCACACCCAATCTGATCAGTTTACCATTCTCTACAAATGCCAGAAGGGACTCTCGATGCAGAAATTTGTTGTAACAGTTGCCTCTCCAGAACTCCTTCTTCACCCTCTTCCTTTTACGCTGGAAATACTTATGCGCCTTGCTTATCTGTTCCTCTAGACTCTGCGGTTTGCTTACCTGGTGGCAACCGTAGCTTGCTTGTCTTTGCCCCGTAGATGAAGTCTCACCACCTGAGGTTCGCTTCTTCTCCTTCTCCTGCCTCGTCTCCTTCCCGCCCTGCTTCTTCTCCTCCTCCTCTTTCTTCTTCCTCTCGATTTCTCTCATTTCCAAATTCGTGATTTGTCGAGCCTCTGCTTGATGCAGCCTGCTCAGCGAATGCTGTAGCTGATACGGTGGTGTAAAAATCATAGAAAATCCGAACGGTGGGAGATAAGAAGGGGAGGAGGAGGTGAAAGGAGGAATGCAGACGCTGCCAAACTCCAGTACTTCAACCGATCGTTGCTCAAGACGTTGACGGAGCTTACGCTGCAGGGCTGTCAACCGCTGCTGTTGTGGCTTCTCCCGCTTCCTCATGTCGGATTCCGCCACTCTGGACTCAGAAGGACGGGGAACCAGAACCTGAATCTCCTCCCGGACAACAGATATGACATCTTGTCTGAGAAGACGGAAGGACCAATCCAAGTACTGGCAGGCATTCCGTGCTCCATCTGAAAAGACCTCCTCAGTGAGAGGAAGGTACGGATCGTCAGTGCACATTATCTCATCCGCTGAAGGATAAATTTGGATGTCCTTGTAGTCCTCAGGGTCATTGCTATGTCGTCCTCCAGGGGAGCACTGAATCGGCAGGATAATCCTTCTCTCCTTTAATGCCTTGCTGCAGCTTCCACGATTACCCTCGCCATCGACCAGATGCTGAAGCTGTTGGCCAATCTTGACCATTATTAAACCACTGTTTCGGCCATTCTTCAGGTTCATGGTTGTTACACCACTCCCGTTTTCTTGACTGTTAGCACCAGATCGAGTTAAGAAGAAGTTGGCAAGCTGCTGAGCTTGACGACGAGTGGTATCATCCTTGAGAGAGCGTTTGGCAAGATCGTCATCGGCTGTCAGGATCTGCAGGAGAAGCCATCCAACGGCCGCAGGCTGTTGCAGTTGGCCAGCTAGGGCGGCTTCCACCAGAGTGTTCCAAAGGAGGAACGGCGCTTGGTAAACGGCTTGCAGGAGCGAGAGTAGGAACGTCCCACGGGAGCCGAGTTGCAGTTGTGGATCGTTGAGAAAGAAGGAGATAAATGGGACGACCATTTCGTTCCAGAAGTTGACGGATTTCGAACGACAGCGCTTCCTGAACCGCTTTCAGACCATACTTGCTAGTTGTCAAGCGACTTAACATTGTTCCAGCATCGTCAGATTGCAATACGACGTTGAGAAACCAGCGAGCCTCGTCTGCACTCTCGATGAGAGCAGTTACTTGCTTGCCACCGAAATTCATTCCTTCGTCGATCATTCCAAAGAACTTTCTGGGAACACACTGCAGTAGCTTCACCGCCTCTTCGTCACTTTCTCTTGAAAACTTACTCTCAAACCTGTCCCTTCCTTCCCCTCCTCCTCCCCGCCCTCCACCTCCCCCTGCACCTGCTCCTTGTCTTCCTCCTCCCCCACCTCCTCCTCGTCCTCCTCCACCTCGGAGTCCTTGTCCTCCTCGTCCTCCTCGTCCTCCTCGTCCTCCTCCGCCTTCAGCTTCTCTTCTGGCTCTCCCTGCAAGCGACAACTTAGTTGGATACCTAACGGAACCAGTTGACCCACTCGATCCAGTCCAACCCTTCCTTCTTTCCATCCCTGCTCTTCTTGCACCACCACCTGATCCTCGCCTTCCTCCTTGTCCTCCTCGTCCTCGTTGTCCTCCTTCCCCTCCTTCTCCTCCTCGTCCTCCTCGTCCTCCTCGTCCTCCTCGTCCTCCTCGTCCTCCTCGTCCTCCTCGTCCTCCTCTGCATTCAGCTTCCCTTCTGGCTCTCCCTGCTGGCAACAGCTCAGTCGGATCCCTGGCAGAACTAGGTGACCCATTCGATCCAGTCCACCCCTTCCTTGCTGCCATCCCTGCTCTTCCTGCAGCAAACATAGTCGAAATGAAAACAACGCTGCCGTAGCACTGCTAGCAGCCGTCCAAGATATTAGGCTATCAGTTCTGCTGCTTCTGCAACTCCGACGAAAGAAAGCTCCCGTCAGTTGTTAACCTGACGCTGCAAAGTTTGGAAGCTTGGGAAACCGAGCCACCGATTTTGTAGGTCATGCAGTTGGCCAATTCTTAACTTCGCCTTGTCTGAGAGCATCAAACGTGGATCTGATTCATCCAGTCAATCAACCAATAAAACAAAGAAATGAATACTAGATCAAGTCGATCAATCGTTCTTAAACTAGTCAACCAACAAACCAACCAACCAACCAACCAACCAACCAACCAACCAATCAATCAATCAATCAATCAATCAATCAATCAAAGCAGTCCTTCAACTAATCACTCCCAAATTAAATCACAAGAACCATAGCAAAAGATGGCCAAAATTTGAAACAAAATACACAACAAGCAGAGCTCCATACACAGTTCCCCCTGATTTTGTAATTGCCAGAATGCCCCTGTGGCCACTCTTGTTGGTGCAGGTCAGGCCCCCCGTGGTCTAGGAGAGAGGGTCGAAGAGAAGGCAAGCAAGCAAGGGGATTGGAGGAGAGGAAAGCAGAAGAGAGGGAAGGGACCGAGAAGGAAGGCGGAGGTCGAACTACTCAAACAAACTACAAACGCATCACGACGAGCCAAATCAAGCCTTTCAAAAAAACGAGGTAAGATCGCTCCTCATATGCAAGCAAGCGACACTTATGGAAAAAGACGACAAGAGAACACCAACACAATCGATGGGATCAACATCCTTCACAAAGAAGTCATCATCAGAGGGCGGTTTAAAGTAGCCTTGTGAAAGTCTAGGGTCCGATACCTTTCCCAAGAGAGAGAAGGACAATAAGGCAAACAAGGGTTGTCACTATTTCGTTTTTAGGGCAGGAGCTACAGGAACGAGCGGAAGAACAGTCGGTCTTCACTGTAGCGCCCTTTTCGTTATAATTTTTTCAACCATTAATGCCGAAATTCCCAACGCACAAAAGGACAAACTGGGAATAGTACTTCCGCTGGATCGAGTTCATCCAGCGGAGTGAAAGTCCAGTCTCACCTAATTCGTCCGCCCAAGCCAGGAATGCGTGATGGTAACACGCCAATCTCAATACGAACACGATCCAGGTCGCTCGAAGGTTGCCCACCACCCACTCTCCCCGCATCCAAACTTTCCCATCCTGTGAAACCGTTTGAGCGCGCTTAAATGCGAGCGCGCGCGCATAAAGACCTCCCTGACGTGCTTAAACACACTCAAAGCGCTTTAAGGGGCGCACACTCGTCAAAAAAAGAGCGTGCGCCGCCATGGGGTTGCGCGAAGGCAGGGGACCACGTAGGGCCATTTGCGCGCGCGCAAAAAAAAAAAAAGGTGGTCGGGG